AGGCGGAAAAAACACGGGCCGCCGCCACCGCTGCACGAGGAGCAGCTCAAATCTAGAAGTGCCATGCTTAAGAATGCGGCGAGGATCGGGGTGGCGGCCGTTGGTGTCCATGGGGCGATTAAGGAGTTGAGGGAGGCGAGGGAGAGTTCGAGGGAGTGTAGGGAGTTTAAGAAGGAGAAGAGAGTTCGCCGGGAGAGGAGGGCGGAGGAGAGGAGACGGTCTTCTAGCGCGAGCTCGAGGCGGCGACCCATTGGGGGTTGGTCGTCGCAGTCGCAGTCGCAGTCGCAGTCGGCGTTGCCTCATCCTCCGCCCGAGTCTTTTCGACGAGAAATCGTGGGGTCCCGTCACTGCTATGACGGGAAGCCGTATGCTTCGTCTGCGTATCGGACCTCTGGTTTCAAGGTCTAGAAGGTGCTCGCATCTAGAACAAGCCCTCTCTCGAAAGTCAAAGAGGCATGATTATGCTGCCTTTCTCCTCTTTCAAAACGACACGAAGATCCGCGGAAAACCTTGGGAAGGATGCTGGGGGGGCCTCTATGCGAAAAAACCCCTCTTGCAAGCTCTTTTCTCGACGATATTTCGTGTAGTCGGTTCTCGGGCATAGCATCAACCTTTTCCCCTTGGCGGCCTTCGAGCTTCTTCCTCGACTTCCCTGCCCTGCTTGCTCCTTGTTGCGAGATGAGCTACACGCCTTCCCATAGTGCAGGGTGTCACGCCGCGTGCCTTTTTTTTCTCCTTTTCTCTCCTTTACACCCATCCATGGTTTTACTGCACGCCGTTTATGTCATTTTGTTTTCACTTCTTTCCCTCTCTTCTTCCTCTTACTGCACTTCTTCATGAATTACGACCATTACAGGATATGGAACACGGATAGATGGTGGGATATGGATATAGATGGATATAGATGGACACATGGATTCGGCGCTTGGTTGGGCTTTAAACGCAGGGTTGTGTTTCTCTTGGGATATACAGGAAGGACATGGTTATGTTTTCTCTCTCCCTTCGTTTTGGTCTGGGCTCACAGTTGGGCGTTTGGTTTCTGCTTTCGTCGTTTTTTCATTCCTTTTTTCGCGCTTTTTACCCCTTTCTGCCCTCGAAAAGCACACCCCCCAAGCTTCAAGATGGGAAGAAGCTATTCATTTTAAAAAGATCAATCCGCTGATTCATTTACATTAGATCGTCGCCACTAAGCGAAGCAAAAGCCTGCTTGCCTCCTGTCTTTTTTAGGCTTGTTCGGTCCAGAAGGTATCAACGAGGGAAAAGCACAAGCACAAGGACACGCTCTCTTCCGTTTTTCATTCTTTCAAGGTATCATGGAATGCTGGGGACAACAATTCTACTCAAAACTTACTGGAATTTTTTTTTTTTTTTTTTGGAGGGGGGGGTTCGCTTTTGTCTTCCTTTCCTTTGTACTGCTTAACTGCGAGACGAGATGGGTATACGTTTTACGTCTGGGTCTGGCCGTCATGTATGGTTCTTATATACGTTTGGTTGTCAGGGGAGTGGGACAAGGCTGGTTTTAGTTTTTTTCCAAGGCTGGTTTTAGTTTTTTTCCTTCTTCTTCCTGCTCCTTAGCCCTGGCCTGGCCACCGACACTTCCTGTCTCGTCCTGTCTAGGGATGAATCGGGGAAAGGATGTGGCGGGGAAGGGAATGATCATGATGCAATATATCTGGGATTCGAATCTGCCCGCAGAAAAACAACTTCAAATCCGGAGGTAGAGTAGGAAGGGGAAAATAACACCAGCGTTTGTCCAAGAACGTTTTTAAGGAAAGGGTATAAAATAGGTTGGTTTCTACGATTTCGATTTCATGATCCCTTCTTATTGTTCTTATTGAAGTGTACATGTCTCCAGGAGGAAGCTCAGGTGTCGGAAAACGCTCGCTAGGTGGCATGAGGATGACGGTTCGGGAATGGCGGTCTGTTTTCTTCTGTTGAGATTCGGCTTTTTCTCGTCTTATGCCGTGGGTTCTTTCATGAGGCGGATGTAATGTCTTCTTCTCGTTATGATCTCTGAATGATGATGGCTCTTGGTTCTGCTTAATCCACCTCTACTGCCGCCGTGTCCAGGCTACGTCTTATGTGTTGAGTCGAACCTTCTCCCTCTCCATAGTTCGAAGCTGCTACCGCGGGTAAAGTCGGACCCTCTTAAGGGAGCAGCAAGTCAACCGTCGAACCCTCCGTTTCAGAGGCCCTAGGAAGGCCGGGTCTAGTATCTCGGAATCACGCGTGTTATACTGATGTAGCTTAGAGTCATCTCTTTTCTCTTCTCTTCTTTTCTTCACATTTTGTTAGGACACAACCCCCCCCCCCCCAAAACAAAGATAACCGAAGCTCGAATACTCGTCACAAAGGATTAATACAAATCGAGGGAAAAAAAAAGCCAAGAAGCAGCTCGTCCTGCCCACCTCCCCATTATATCCCCGCCCCTCCGCTCTCCTTCCACTTCGCCGCCAACGCCATGACGTTCGAAAGACTCTTAAGCTGCCGATCATCCGCCGGAAACACGTAATCCACATACTCCTCCCAGGTATCGTCCTCGAGCTTCCTCCTGCGCTTCACCCTGCGAGGCATCTGCCTCTGCACGGCCTCGACGTCCTCTTCGGCGCCGTGGATGCGCTCGAACGACAGCCACGCGTTCAGAAGCGTCACGCGCTCTTCCTTGAGGTCCTTGTCCTTCATGGCGGTGTGTGCGCGTTCGAAGACCTTGCGTGCGCGTGCCTTGGCTTCTTCGCTGACGGGGCGCTCTTCCTCCTCTTCCTCGGCTTCTTCTTCTTCTTCCTCTTCGGGGATGTTGATCTCGAAGTGCGCGTAGCTGATCCACACCTTGACGTGATCCGTCTTCTCGAGCAGCCGCTCATACAATTCCCTCGCGCGCTCATACTCCCCTTCCTCCTCCTCGAAATCAATATACGCCTTCCAAAGCAGCTCCGGCATATCAAGCACCTGCTGCCCAATAGCAAGCTCGAAAATGGCCCTCGTGCGATCCAAATCATCGAGGCCCCGCTCCAGCTCGGCGAACTTGATCCACGTCTGGCAATTGGCAGGGTTCCACTCGACGTGCTTCTCGTACAGCGTGCGGCACCGCACGAACTCGAAGAGCTTGAGCTCGAGATCGATGTAGCCCCGGAAGAGCCGGTCCTTGGGACACATGCCGATGGCTTGGCCGAGGGTCTTGCGCGCGGCCGTGATGTCGCCTTGGCGGATTTCGAAGTGCGCTTTGAGGAGCCAGACTTTGGCGAATGTGAATTTCTTGTGGGGGATGTGTTGTAGGCATACTTTGTATATCTCTCTCGCGCGGGCGACGTCCTTGGCTTCCATCTCTTCCCAGATGGCGTAGAATATCCAGAGGTAGATGTAGCGCCTCCAGTGCCGCTTCTCCTGCGTGGGTGGCATCTGGGCGACGGCCCTCTCGTACACTTCTCGCACCCTGTCGAAGTCTCCTGAGGTCTCCTCCAGGCGCGCGTAGTCGATCCAGGCATCGTAGTTCTTGGGATTTTCCTTGACTTGGTTCTCGTAGTAGACTCGTCGCTTCGACAGGATGACGTCTTCGATGCCATCCTGGTCACCGAACTGTTTCTCGAACGTCGTATAGGCCTTGTGAAGAGCCATAGACTTGGAGCGGGGAAGGTGATCGAGGGCATATTTGTAGATGGCTCTGGCGCGCTCGTATTCCTTCAGCTTGGCTTCGAAGCGGGCGTAGGCGAGGAAGATCTTTTCGGATAGAAAATCGTCGCCGAGAGCCTCTATCGATTCTCCGAATACCTCTCTCACCATGTCACTGGTGCCGTACTCCTCCTCGAACCTCGCCCACTTGATCCAGTTCTCGGGTTCCGGGTGAACGACGGTGAAAGATCTGAAAATGTCTCTCGCGCGGTCATATTCGCCGTAGCGCTTCTCCAGCTTGATAAACGCACTCCAGGCGGCCTTGTCGGGTTGCCACTTCATCCACCTCTCAAACACCTGCCTCGTGCCGGGGATGTTCCCCAGCATCTCCTCCATGTACACATACTTGTACCACAGCTTATCGACGCGCGGAAGGATCGTCACAGCGCGATCTAACAGGTTTCTCGCATGGTTGATATTCCTCGACTTCATCTCCGACTCGATATACCGGATCCACAGCGCTACATTATTGGGCATGACATCGAGGGCGCGTTCGAAGATGGACCGCGCGCGGGCGAATTCCTTCTGCTCGAGCTCCCAGGCGGCATATCTCGTCCAGTTGTTGATGTTGAGGCGGTTCCTCCGCACGTAGGCTTCGAATTCCTTGCGCTTGCGGCCCTGGTACTCGTGCAGCTCCTCGAGGTCGGCGAAGCGTTGGGTCGGGGCTTCGATGGGGACTTCTTGGCGGTCGACGGCTTCGCGGAGGAGTTGCTCGGCGGAGATTTGGACGGGGGCTGCGGCCTTGTTCTTGACCTTGGGGGGTCCCCTCGGGGCATCCATGATGGCGGTGTGAAAGGCTGGAGGCTTTTGGGCGAGTTCTTGTGGTGAAGAAGTGATGAGAGAGATGGTTGGCGTAGACTCGGGTCAATGAATTCCGGTAGAGGACCCTGGAGAACACGAATGGAGGTTCTCGATTAGACGTTCCAAAGCCCGCAGCTCCTAACCTCGCGGGTTCGCTAGATGAGTTAATGCTGATGAGGAAAAAAAAGTTGCCTCTTGGAAAGCGCAAGGCGATGCCCGTTTATGATCATAATATGAAATATGAATTAATCGTGAACATGTTCAAGGTGCAGCGTGCAATCGCACCGTCGCGCTGGCCAATAAAAGCTCTCAAATTAACGCACTGACCATCTTCCCTGCAAGGCAACTGCGACTGCCCAAAGTCAGCCTCGCGAACCACTTCAACTTCAAGGACCAATTTTATATTTTGCCCCCATCACTCTCCTTTTCCTCACCTCCACCCTGGCCTTCCTTCCATCGCCAACCGTCGCGTAACTCAGATCTCGGTACTTTACACGACAGTATTGCGGTAGCCTTTTTATCCCTCGCCCACCATGTCGACCCTGGCCGACGAACTACTCCAGGACTTCGAGGACTTCGGCTCTGACGAAGAGGTCGCAGATGATGGCGCCATCGAGGGCGAGGCGCCGACCAACGGCAAACCGACGATAGGCGACATGAGTGAGGGCGAAGAGGAGGAGGAAGATGAGGAGATGACGGATGTGGTCGATGAGGCCAAGATTCTCGGCGACGATGCCGAGGAGGCGAAGGTCAAGGTCGAGAAGATGAAGTTGGGGGTTGTGAAGGACGTTCGGAGTGTGGCTACACTAATGGATACCCTGGGGCCCGTTCTAGAGGTAAGAATCCCAATGAGTTGCCCCCCTTTTTATCATTTTTCTTGTTCTCTTGGCACATCACCTCTTCGGATCACCGTTTACATTTTATTTTGAGCATAGCCCTGACATTCTTGCGTCGAACCAAATAGAAAATCGAAAAATGCCGATCTCAAGAACAAACGGCCGTTATCGGAAACGTCGAGGATCACCCCGAATACCACCTCCTGACCCAATCCAACAGCCTTTCAACCCACATCGACAGCGAGATCGTCCTCGTCCACAAGTTCATCCGCGATCACTACTCCGTGCGATTCCCGGAGCTCGAAACCCTCATCAGTAACCCCCTCGAGTATGCCAAGGTCGTCGCCATCCTGGGCAATGGGCCCATGGACGCCGAGGGCATCAAGAAGCTACAAAATTCTACGGATAATCCCCTAAAGATCTCTCTACGCTCCGTCCTCGATGGACCGTCGCTCATGATTGTCACCGTTGAGGCGACCACTACCAAGGGTCGCGAGATGAGCCAGGATGAGCTGAATCGCGTACGAAGCGCTTGCCAGATGATTGTGTCGTTGGATAAGGCCAAGACGACGCTCACCGAATACGTGCAATCGCGCATGAACATCTTCGCGCCCAACCTCACGGCCCTCATCGGTTCTCTCACGGCCGCCCAGCTCCTGAATGCCGCCGGTGGTCTTACGGGTCTTTCCAAGACGCCAGCCTGCAACATCGCCGCTTGGGGCTCCAAGAAGCAGGCTACGCCCGGTCTAGCGACGAATGTCGGTATAAGGCAGCAGGGTTTCATCTATCACTCGCCTCTCATTCGGGGGATACCTAACGACCTAAAGAGGCAAGCCATGCGCATCGTCTCTGCCAAGCTCGTGATGGCAGCCAGGGTCGATCGCATACACGAGAGCCCCAACGGAGCCATCGGCGAACAATTGAAATCAGCATGTCTCGAGAGGCTTGACAAGCTAACTGAACCGGCCGCGAACAAGGGCCAGCGAGCCCTCCCCGCGCCAGACGACAAGCCCTCGAGGAAGCGAGGTGGCAGACGAGCAAGGAAGGCAAAGGAAGCTACGGCCATGACGGATCTGCGCAAAGCACAAAACAGAATGGCGTTCGGAAAGGAGGAAAAGGAAGTCGGCTACGGCACCGGCGAGGGAACGGCCGGTCTCGGCATGATCGGGCAGTCCAACGACGGCAGGATCCGCGCGCTGCAGATCGACCAGCGCACAAGAGCCAAACTCAGCGCCAAGCACAAGGGCTGGGGAGGCGCTACGCCCATGAACGGCTTATCGTCGTCTCTGCGCGGGTTCAACCAGGCGAGCTCGAACATCGACTTGCGTGGAAGGGGACTTCGCACGTCGGGCGTTGGGAGCACCATTGGTGGGAACATGAGCACGGCGGGAACCGCATCGTCACTTACGTTTACGCCGGTGCAAGGGTTGGAGCTCGTGGATCCGAAGGTACGCGAGGAGCTTAGTAGGAAGAGGAAAGCGGATGAGGACCGCTGGTTCAAGGGGGGTACGTTTACGCAGGTTGGGGGGTCTTCTTCCAACGGGGGGTTCAAGGTTCCGGACCTGCCTCCTAGCAAAAGGGTTGATACGGGAGCTGGCAAGATGTTACCGCCGCCTCTTCCTGTCAAGAAGTAGGCGGGATTGGTTGGGGAAGTTTAAAAAAAAGTATTGGGGGGGCCGGAGCGGGGTTTAAGGTTATGGATGGTTTTCTCATTCTTTTTTCGTATTCATTTGTACAGCATAGGGTTAGGCGTCGTCTTTAAAGGAGGGATGTTAAGGTTGGTGGGCTCCGGATGTGTATGATTTCATCTTCACAACAGACTAGAAAAAGGAACCGAGCTTATTTTTTAATCGTCTCTCTCCTTTTTTTTTTTTTTTTTTTTTTTTTTTTGTCCACCCTTTGAATGAACACCGACAATTAAAGAACGGCAGGTTCCCATGCCACTTATTATTTCGCAATGTTCATGGCATCGGGCTTCGCTCCTCCTCGGAGCCCGAGTCCATGATCCGAAGATTGACGGACCCTCTGCTAGCTCTGAACTTAACCTCGTTAAACTTTACGACCATGACATGTTCTCCTGTCTAGACCGCATACCCCTCGAAATCTTTATTCTAGAGCTGGGACACGATCATATAACTGTACACGGCTCGGTAGCATGTTTGGAGCTTGGTTATCAATGTAGGTTTAAACCCCCCCCTTCCTTCCTTAGCGCCGGACGCCTTGTTGTGTTCCAGAGGCTAGCATCGTCCGCACCGTGAGTTGCGGACTCGCTGGATTTAACATTTCTAAAGTTGACTTGTCTGGTTTACTCGGTGATATGTCCACGATACGTCTCGTAACTACGACATGCTTTAGAATATCAACATCGCCATGTTCAAGGCCGATGATAGCCAGCTGGAAACCATGTTTTCTTGTGTCTCCATTGGCAAACATGGACACGTGAATACCGCTTTTCCCATGGAGAAGATGCCGGAGGACACCGCGAAGGGGACAAACTCATTCGAGGTGCCTCCCCTCCGCGGAAGCAAGCTCGGTCATCAGATACGCTCCTCCGCTGTTGACAAATTGACTGACTGGACTACCATGGCTTTTACTTGAGTGTACGGTTGTAGGCTCGGCGATACTCTCTTTCGTTTTTCGACAGTTCGCGTATCACCTTGCATTTAGAGGTAATATGATCCAGACAAGTTTCGCGGCCGGGCTCTGACACAGTCATGAAGACGAAGGATCTTCCAGAGTCATCTCGGGCTAGACTCGTAGCTTTGGGATCCCATTCAACATGCGTAGAAGCTGAGAAGTTCTGCGTCCTACTCCTGCCTCTGGTGGCGCTGCGTGGCCCCAGCTGCCATCAGTTGTCTCATCTCGGTGTGTTGCGAAAACCCCGAAACTGAGGCTTTAAAGACGCAGATGGGAAAGGATCCCCCGGCTTTGACAAGTCACAGGTTGTTAGGGAATCCTTCGAATCAGCAGGGAAAAGGCCACGAAATACAGGTCCTTAAAATAGACTCAAACACGTCTCTGGCCTGCCAGCCACCAGCTTAAAACAGACAGCATGGGCCAATTTCTCCGACCGCCCCTTGTTCCTGCTTTTTTTGTTTTTTCAAATAGGCATGAAGAATAATACAGGACAGACCGAAGAGAATTGGGGACCGAAGGGATGGAAATGGAAACAAGAAAAAAAGGGGGCGATGTGCGTGTGAGCTGTCAACGATATTCCTGGCGTGGCTATGGTGGCCGTAGTCGTCGTCGTGATCCAGTAAACTGGGCGACCTTCCCCAAGTTCTCCAACCTGTCGTAACCTGTCCTCCCGGAACCTCTGGACCCTTTTTGCTCTTCCTTCATGCCGGCTCATCACTTGCCTGATTGTCTGGTTCTTCAACACGGAATCTTGCATGTTGATACTGCCCCGGAATGGGATTGAGTGGTGCCCGAAAAAAGGTATAGGAGCTGACGAGTATTGATCGAATTTGTCTTGCACAGAAAAGGACGGGAACGTTCTTTTCTCCATGAATTGACCAAAGAAGACGATGTGACAGGAACGCCCTTCCCGCCCCCCTGAACGAGGTGTGCCGTGAAGATCTCATCTGACCGAGAGCTTCGAAGGGGATTCCAAGGGTAGCCCGCCGGTGTGCACATAAACTGCAGGCAAATAATAATAGTAATAATAAAACGGGCATCAACATGTCTGCGGGTTTGTTTTGACCGTGTAAGAGGACTACGCGAAGCGATGCTCCACCCACGGCAAAGGCCACGCCATTTTTTCCATTTTACTCAAAAGGGGAGTTTGAAAGGGACCCATCATTCCAAATGTGGAATTTGACACAGGGAGATCCTCACAAAATGGGAACCGGCTCGAGGAATGCGCACATAGTCCACAAAGGGTATGGACGAAATCATGCGGGCTCATATGGCTCGCTTTTGTTTCGCTCCCCGGCCCGCTTGGTATGTTGGCGTGTGTGTTATACGTCCACGTATTTTTTTGGGCTCGTAAGTCCCTTTCATATAGTAGACGGGAGAGCCGAACTTAAGGCCTGAAGGGAAAGGGACCCTGCGTGGAGGTGGCATGCTCATCGGCTCGGGATGTGAGGCAAATGGGAAGAGGGGAGGAGGAGCCGGAGGAGGAGGAGGAGGACCGTGGGAAGGGCGTGTCTGGAGGGAGGGAGGGTTCTATGGGTGAAAACAACGATCTAACTTGGGCAGAACAGGCCCAATCCCTGGTATTTATCCTGGGGGTTGGCGGGTCACAAACAAAGTGGTTCCCAGCCATCTTTTGCCAAAGTAAGGGACTGCCTTTGTGGTGCCGAAGGGGGGGAGACGACCTGGGGAGGAAACACGACTGGCGATGGTATTTTGGTCCTGATATTTTTCATGATCGATGGAATATCGCGATACCCGTACGAGTATTTCCCAAAATAGTTCCATCTGGTCTTTTGGGAGTTTGGGAGGAAGGGGGGGAAGCCTTGCTTTGGCCTCTTCTCTGTGTATCTGTCTCTGTAGTGTAGTCTATTCTCTCTCAAAACCACGCGCTGGTCGCTCTCTCCCTGGCTTGAAGGGTTCATCCCAGATCGACGCCGGCTCACGTGTGTTCGACAAGATGAAACGGCACAGCCTTAAGAGATTGCAGGGATCCGTATCAGGTACCGCCGAATACCCCCGCCACTAGTCCGGCAGCTCAGGGAGGTACTTCTTGCTTGTACCAGTAGCCGAGCTGTTGTGTCTGTCCAGTCCAAAATGCACCACCGAGTACAAAGTACGTACTTGTACCTTAGTACACGAGAGTCTCCTGCATGCCCTTAGTGTACAGAGAAGGAGCATATGAAGCAATAATGTGAGAAGTACCCCGTACTCCGCACTCTGTGCTCCGTCTACTCCTCTGCAAGTACGAGGTACACTGCCAGCACTGAGGTACACTACACTACTTCATAATCTAGTTTACATCCACAGGACCCTAACCACGGATTGAGGGTTGATTGATCACTTTGCGGGAGTGGAAGTGGACAGGCGGAAAGGGGACCCTGCGGCAGGGGGGGTCCCCTGCCGTACCCTGCCCGTACGTGCGGTCGGGTCAGGGTTCGTCAGGGTTCGTCGAAAAATGCATAGAGGTTCTCGAATGATGTCGAACACCCCCCCGAACGCTGGTCTTGGCATTCTTGCTTCCATGTGTTCTGCAGGAATTCTTTTCTTTCTCTCGATGCACGCTCTGACCTCGCGCCTTGTTCGAATTTTTTTCCCTTACTCTCGGTGGTTGGCCGGGCATTCTATACCCCTCGAGCAATCCCCTTGCCTTTCTGCGCATCTGGGCCCTTGTTTCGTCGCTACGAAGTACTCGTGTAGGGTGAGGTGAGGCTGGGAATGGGGGGTATCATGCCATGACACCATGCAGAAATGCTCCGCTGTGCAGGGTCAGCGCTGCTAATGTGAGTTATACTACTTCGAAGTACCAGTAGATAAGAATGCTACCGCTAGTGAGAAAAAAATAAATAAAATAAAAATAAAAAATGAAAATAAATAAAATAAAGAGTAAAAAAGAGGGAGCCTGGTAAGCCCAGCGGAGAGCAAAAAAGGCCGTGAGCTACCAACAATAACACCCTGCACGATACGCGAGAGTGAATCCTGTGGGGGAAGAACAGGGCTCAAGAATTTGACATTCTCCATCGCTAAGAGCTCAATACTACGCCGGATATATTTTCCTAGGACAGCCAGCCGAGATTGAGGAAGGACCTTAGTTCCATGCCAACATTGAAACTTCTTTTATCTCCAAACTCCATGCATCCTTTGTCCTCGGTGATTTAAGTGCCCGTTTCCCTGTTTCGACCCTTGCTGCATGTTTGGGCTTTTATTTATTCTTCTTGGACAGATGACGACATGGACCTCACCCAAGTTGGAATGGCGAGAGTTCGAATGAGGAAATACGAGCTCAAAAAGGGGACCGGAGGTCCATACCTTAGCAGCGGAGCTTTGGGGAGGGGAAAAGAGGACAAATGGAGGAGGGGGCGTGGACGAGCGGGAAGCAAGAGCGGGAGAATTAGAGCCACGCAAGCTTGTGGATGCTAAGGCGAATAGTGCAGCGGGCGCTCGAGTTGCACTGCTTGTGTACACTAGTGTACAAGGCGCGCACGCCTGGTGTGTCGATGCAGTGTCGTGTCGTGCTTGTAAACTACTTCGTACTTCATCCTGCCAGTGAATTTTGGAGGGGGCGTACACCAACACTTCAGCGCCGGTACTTGGCGCGGCACGAATGTGAGTGATGGATATTGAGGGTATCGCATCCACTGAGGAGCGTTCCTCGTTCCTGTACCACCACCATCCGCTCTTTGCTGGGCCGACTTTGGACATTTATGAGCAAATGGATAGATTAAGATGGTTGGAAGGGGTCCTACCTTCTACACTCCTAGTACTACTCACAGCGCTATAGCTCATCATGAAGCTAACGGTGTGTGGTGGATGGAGTCCCGTAGAACACCCCTTAACCCATTCATCAATTGATTCGTGCAAGCTATAATTCCTCGTCGCGCACTAATGCTCCAGGGCGTCATCTCCATCTTGCGCCAACCCCTCTCTACAGGGTACTTCGTAGGTGTTATCGCTGCTTTCATCAGGCGTTATAGTGTAGGACTAATGGTGTATGTAGTGT